TAAATGTAAGAGTGGGGATCGAACCCCTGTCCTTGAAGTGCTCTAACTCAAACTTGAAAATATAATTGAAAAATTAATTTAAGAAAACTGGCAAAATTAGGACTTGAACCCGAGTCCCTTGCTTCATAGTATAACCTCACAACCACCAGAACACTAACGCCATTTGATTTTAATTTGAATTCTAAATTCATTAATTAATTAATATGTTCTAAAATTTGAAAATTTTCATCCGCCCCATATAGTTTCTCAAAGTTGGGAGTTGTTTAAACCCTAACTTTTCATCTCTCTGCAAGCGAATATTTTTACCCTCATTCATTCCGGCAACCGTCCTCCCTTCTCTCATCCATTGCTTATATCTCTCAAACGTAAGTTTCTCATTCTAATTTTCTAAATAATAATAATAATGTGCAATTTTCAATCTCTCATGTTCATATTTTTGCTCTAGGGTATTCACTCTCAATCTTAGTTCTGCATTTGACTTTCATTCTCAAACCCAACCTTTCAATTTCAGATTTCAATATTGTTCTCACTTTCAGGTATTTTACTTCTTATATATAATAGAATAGTAGACGTGATTCTGCCATGGTAATGAGGAAATAGCAGAACTTTGTTTTTTAATCTCAGTTTGTGTTTGTGGTTGTGGTTATGGTGATATATATATATATATATATATATATATATATATATATATATATATATATATATATATATATATATATATATATATATATATATATATATATATATATATATATATAGAGAGAGAGAGAGAGAGAGAGAGAGAGAGAGAGAGAGAGAGAGAGAGAGAGAGAGAGAGAGAGAGAGAGAGAGAGAGAGAGAGAGAGAGAGAGAGAGAGAGAGAGAGAGAGAGAGAGAGAGAGAGAGAATGAGAGTCTTGTTTACTCTTTGTCTTTCAAAATAGCAAGTATGGATACAACTTTGGTTAGGATGAATTTGAAGTTGTTGCCACAACTCTCTATAGTGTCCACCAAGAATGAGGCCCAAGTCTTTGATATCAACATCATATATTTTCACTTAAACTTTGTAGCTAAGTTTTCTGCTATGTGTTAGTACTAAATGTTGTCAAATAGCGGCTATAGAGACATTTGAACAAACTGTTATATCAAAACAAGGATATTTTCTTAGTAGGATTTGACTTACCCCGCACCCAGTATCTAATGCGGTTCTAACCATCCCATTATCCAATGGAATAACAGCTGCAAGTTGATTAATGTAAGCATCAGCACCCTGAGGAAATTGAGATCCCCCACCAGGAAACCTGAAAAAATTCCCTTCATACTGTATCCAATTCTGCACAACCTTCTCAACTATGAGGCTCTTGTAAGGCGTGTTTGCGTACGGGACATAATCGCGACTCTTAGGCCAAGGAAACAGCATTGCGTACCCTCTAGGAGCAACTATGAGACAATGCAATTTCTCTTCTTCAGGAGGACAGTGCCTTTCTCTATAATTCATATTCTCTCGCGGAAACGTCATTGCCCTTGCTATGAGAATTTTTATTCTGTCTGTTATGGGTATATGCTAATTTTGCAGGTAAATAATATCATTGAATTGGATGGTAGGTCTGAGATTGTTATGAAGATAACATGGGCTTCGTCCTTTCCTTATAAAATTCATGTTCTATTATGGAGATTATTTTGGGACAAGTTAGCCACTAAGGACCAATTGCATAAGAGAGGTATAAACCTTGGCAGTGTGGATTTACAGTGTTCTTGTTGCAGTGCTGTAGGCAAATCGTCTCGCCATATCTTCTTGGACTGTCAATTTGCTAGTAAAGTATGGCGTAGTATTGAGATATGGTTAGGCTTGGATTTAGAAAGGAAGTCAAATTATGCTGAGTTTTTCATTAGCTACTCCAATCAGTTGAAGAAAAAGACGGCTCCGAGCTTGGTAATTGTATTTAGGCATTTACGATTTGGACCTTATGAAAGAGCATAAATGATTTTATTTTTAGAGAAATTCCTTATAGTGTTGAAGTTCTTTATTCTATTAAGCTTTCAACTTGGAGATGGTATAACTCTATGGGTAAGTTGACGCATGCTTGTACTTTTTTCAAGTGGTTTTCGTCGCCTCTGTCTTGTTTGTCTTACTTGTTGAAGTGTCTGTGTTGGGCTTCAAATGCTGCAAGTGTCGCAGGATAAAATCACTTGTCTGTCCTTACACCGATTCAAAACCAAAGTTAAAAGTTAAGAAATCACACAGAAAGGCTTCAAAGAAGCAACATTCTGGACCTGATTCTGATTCTGGAGCATTTAATGATATGAGAGAGTCTGAACCTGCTACTCCTGTGTTTCCTGTGGAGAATGATCCTTTACTTTTCTCTCTTGCAAATGTTGAGCTGATTACAGAACCTAATAATTTAGATTCAGATGTTGAGTGGAACACTCTCTCTATGCCAGGGCCTCAGAAATTACCTGTGAGAATGCATGTTAAGCATGATGGGGGTGGCGATGGTTCTGTTTCAGGAATACCTTTTCATGACAAATTTTCAACATACAGTGAAACAGGTAACCTGTCAAGTCCTGCAGATTCGATATTACCTTTAGATTACGACTCTGCTAATTTTGGCAGCAATCTGCTGAGCAACTCTGAATTTGTAAATAATGATGACAACATGTTTAACGATAATACCATCTTCGATGTAAATGACCTGCTGCGCTCAGATGACAGCCAAATTGGTGAAGGTGATGTGCCTGGGGAATTATTGGGATACAACATGGACCAGAACAATGAAGGTGATGTGCCTGGGGAATTTTTGGGATACAACATAGAGAATTCTGGTACCCCTGTTCCTGAAGAATTTGGAGATGGCAATTTCTTTTGTTCTAAATGTTTACAAACTGAACCTGGCCCTGAGTTTTTAGAAAATGTTATTTAATTTGAACTGTTATATCAAGTTAACTTGCTAACTGTAACCGTTAGAATGTTAGGTTAGAGTTAATATGTTAATTGTTAGTGATCTGACAGTTAGAGGGTTATTGGGTTATTTGTTATGTTAGTTGAAATGTTAGAATTAGAGATGTTAGTTAACTGTTATGCTAATTGAATGTTAATAGCATTTGAAAAATAGTTATGGTTAGCTAACTGTTAGCATTTTGTTCACATTCATAAGTAATTGGTTGCTAGTTACTGTGATTGCTTAAGTTTGCTAGTTACCAGATTAAATTGAATGTTTGCTAGTTACTGTGATTGCTTAAGTTTGTACTAGAACTGTTTATATAGTGTTTGCCCAAGCATAAATTATAAGATTTCTGAATATTTCAAATGCATGATAATAGGCTGGCTTATTTTTTTAGATTATATTACTGTTTCAACTTTCAAGGATGGTGTACATCCTATACCTTTTGTTCATACTATCATTTTGTATTTTAAAATTTAATGTATTATGGCTTTTAACTATGAGTTAATGTAGGACATGAACATAGTCAATGAGGAGAGTAGATGATGATAGGAATGTAACGTTGAATGAGTTCTTTTTTATTAGATATAAACAACAAATATTTGTGAAAACGCGTCAGAGGGGGCGTAATTCTGATTATAGAGAGAGGAAATGGCAAGCATGATTGCTGATTTTTCTTTTACGGAATGGAATGTTAATAAAATATGATTTTGTCTAATATTAATCAATAGTTATAATGAAAATTTCATTTGTATATGCAAAGTGGCCCATGCTATTAGAAGTATGATTATCAGTGTGCTTTACTGCATATATGCAAAGTGGTCCAAGCTGATCTTGAAATTTAACACACATTTTTCCACAATTGGAAATATATATATGACTCTGAATTTTTCTATATATCATCTCTATCTAATGCAGGATAGTTTACTATTCACGCTTAAATTTCCAACGTGCAGTTTTATAGTAGTTCAACTTATTATATCCTAATTAATTGGCTAGTTTTAAACCAGTAAATTAATCCATGTGCCATTAAGAATAGTGACTTATGATTTGTACATTCAAATCATGATTTTTTTTTCCCTCCTTTTAATAGCTACTCCATTGTGAATAGAAAAAAGTGATAAAATTTTGCATAGCCATAAGGTATTGTAAAAGGATACGAGGACGGTTATACTATAACCACATTTTCAAAACTGTAACTCGAGGTAGTTAATGGCATTGAACTGTTAGTGAGGAATTTAAATTGGTTAATTGTGTTAGTTAATTGTTATGAAATTTGGTTAATTGTTTAATTAGAGTTAGTTAGTTTGATGCCATTTTGAAAAACAGTTAGGTTAGTTAGTGGATTGGAGCTGTGACAGTTAGTATATTAGTAGGGTTAGTTTAGAAAATGTTAGTTAATTTGAATTGTTATATCAAGTTAACTTGCTAACTGTATGCTAACTGAATGCTAATTGAACTGTTATATCAAGTTAACTTGCTAACTATATTAGAGTGTTATTTGTTATGTTAGTTGAAATGTTAGAATTAGAGATGTTAGTTAATTGTTATGCTAATTGAATGTTAATAGCATTTGAAAAATAGTTATGGTTAGATAACTGTTAGCATTTTGTTAGGATTGTTAGAGGTTAGTAAAATTGGTTCATTTAACTGTTAGGCTTAGACAACTAGGTGATTAGTTAATGGTTTGAACTTGTTAGAGAGTTTGAACTTGTTTGTTTTATGACTGAATAGTGATATTAAGTTGTTAGTTATATAATATGTTAATCCTGTGTTTGTTGATAGTTAAATTATTTTATGTGTCAATATTGTGTTAGTTTGTAAATAATAGTGTATCCTTATGTGTTTATACATTTTATTTATTTATAAATGTATTGATGCATGTTTAAAATATTGTAATTAAATTATACTAAAGGTATGGACAAAGCATGGACTAAACTCCCAAGACACTGGAAGAAGTATAGAAAAGGTGTTAAGTCTTTTTTAGATTTTGCCTATACCACAGGAAGACCTCAAGGACGTGAAATTTCTTGTTACACCATCATTGTTGAAAAAAAATGAAGAAATTTCTTTAATAAAAATGCAATATGATGGTAAAATTTCTGACATGAATCAAAAGATGGGAGCAATGGAGGCACTTTTGAAAAGCATGTATATGCAACAAAATCCACATTTAAGTGAAGAGGAAGTAAACAATAAGATGAGAGAAGCCTTGCACAATGATAATATTCCAACACCGCGCTCATCGACATCAACCTATGCTCCTGCTCATCAAAAGGTACTACAATTGATATTAATTAAAATTGGCATTTATTTTACTAAGTGTTGAGTTGGTATTTCTTTAGTATACTAATTTATGTTGCTTATATCAAGTTCTCCCCTAGGATTAGTTAGTATTTTCTTACCAAATTTTGTAACTATGTCCATCATACTACCAATTTTTACAAATTCTGCTATGCTCAATGGTTGAAAAAAGTTGCATCTTCAATCAGTTCACTATGTGAAGTCTTTTAGGCTTTGGTAGCAAAAGTTGCATCTTCAATCAGAATCATTGAGCATCTAATTTAGTATATATGTGAGTGAGTGAATATAAACAAGTCTAGCCAAGGCAACTAAAGAAACCAACAAGAAAGTGAGTTAGAACAAATTATGTACCAGGTATTGTAAACTAGCATGACCTTCATGTTAACTTAATAAGCATAGTTGTAAATTCTCCAAGTTTCTGCAATGCCTACCATGCAGTCTATGCATACTTGTGAATATCTACTGCTGTCGGTAATTTTAATTATGCTTTAAACATTAATCTTTTAAAACATATGAAAACTTCCGTAGAATAAAAGTTATATAATAAAAAAAATCATACAAATCAAATCAAAAGATTATATTTTATAAAGCAAATTATAAATATATAAAAACATATTTGTATTTAGATAAATATATTATTAAAAAATATCCATGCATAGTATGTATCATTAATATGTAGATTTGGGACATGGGTCTTGGTGGTAAGTACCAGCCTGATTTGTTGTCGTTATTAATTTGTGATTGTATTTGCTTTTACAAACTACTACAAGTACATATATAGTACCACCTTCATCAATTAATATCAATATGAATTAGACAAAACTCTATATCGATGTGAAACACAAGAAACATATATATTTGAATTTGGGGCTGTGTTAATTAGAAACATATATATTTGAATTTTCAAACCAGTTGGGATAAAAACGTGTTTGCATGTATAATCAAAATCCTACTATTAGGTATGAATAATGTCATGATTAATCAGGATATAATTGAGTTAGCTAGGTAGCGTCTATGATAAGATAATATGTATATTAATAGATGCTCTAGGAATAATCTTTCTATACTTGTAATAGTCTTAGAATATTTAAAGAATGAAATGAAACATGTTTGTTTAGTTTAGTATTATGTGTTATGTGTTACTATGTGTTTATTATGTATATGTATGTGAGTATTGTCATTTTTCATGGTCAAAGTAAAAATGTTTAAATTTGACTATTCTTTACAGGTTATAAATGAAGATGATCCTCAAGTTGAACAAGATGGCGTTCTCCAAGATGACGACGATCTTCAAGATGATGATGATCTTCATTATGATCTTGATGACGATCTCCAATATGATCAAGATGACGATCTTCAATATGATCAAGTTGACGGTTCTCAAAATGATGATTCTCATGATTCTCAGTATAATGAATATAATGAAGACCTTCACTGATTCAAATATAGACAATTATTTTTTGTTTTATGGAGTTACACAAACCACCTAATTAGTTTATTATATTTCAAAGAGTTTGGATTTATTTAGAAAATATTTGTTCTTACATTTCAAAGTGTTTATTACACTTCATCATATTAATACTTCATATTTATATGTTTTGATTAATTTATACATGTGTTTCTTCTCATTTAATTAATAATATTGACTTATACTATATTAGAATAAAATGAAGGTTTATGGTTGAAATGTATCACCATATAAATGAATAGGAAATTTTTTAATAATTATATCTGTAAGTTTAAAGTTAATTAATATTTATCAAATATTTTTCAATTTATAGGCAACGCTTTTTAAGGGTTGCTTATTAAAAACCGTGGATTTTTCCTAAGTTTTAGGCGCGGTTCTTTAAATGAAATTATAAGTTAGCTACGGTTTTTATTTGTTGCTTTTTAATAACCGTTGTATATTCACGTTTTGGGGACGGTTATTTTGTGTTGTTACTAGAAAACCGCGGCCTAAAAGTACAACTAAAACCGTGGAATTTGATGATTTACGCGACGGTGTTTTTAATCCGTGGTTAAAAATTAAAAAACCGCGCTCTAAAGGAATAGGCAACAGCCGTTTATTCCACGTCTGATAAACCGCCCCCTAAAGGTTTAGGCTACGGTTATTTCACTTTAGGTTGCGGTTTTGAGTTGTTGCCATAAGTCATTTTTGTTGTAGTGTTCTATCATCCCTCTTTCATACACAATATCTTCCATGATATGAATAACTCACCTTTATTTTTTCAATAATAAACCACCACCTACATTTCTTTTTCTTCATGCTACCTCTAACCTCACATAAAATATCATCCTCCAAGTAGACACAATACTCCCTCATCTAATCTTTATCAGGTTTTTTTTCTTCTTTTCTTTTACTTTATTCATTTATTTAGTTTATTTTAATTTGTAAAATATTTGGAAAGACAAAAAGGAATTTTTAATTATTTATCTTTTATTAGTTAATTGTTAAATATTTAAAATTGCAAAAATATATGTTGTAATTATTAATTAATTTAAATATTTGTATTTAATTTGATTAATTAAATTATTAGTTAATCTTGTTAAATATTTATATTTAAATTGATTAATAATTTTGTTGGTTGCCTGATTCTATTTGTGACTGATTTTCTTCCATGTACATGTTACTTTACTTCTATTCCTTGTTGACCTAATCCAAGGAAAGGGATTGTGTGTTGACTTATTATCATTGTGCATGTCCCTTGCTTACCTGTCTTAGTTGTTCTTGGTTCTTAGAACCTAACAAATTGTAGTTTCACGAACTACGGACGCTCTGATTTCTCAAGTCCCTCTTGAGGATACGTAGGCACAAGATGCAATTTCTTGGCGAGCTCACTAACCACTAACTTCCTGTTACCTTTCTCAATTTAGGATCTGAGTCTCCGAACTCACATTTAGCGTCCCGCCGTGGACATCCTTTCCCTTTATCCTAACCTTAGGATTTGAGTCGCCGTACTCATGTTTAGCGTCCCGCCGTGGACATTTTCTACCATAACAATCTCAACTTAGATTCAGGAGTCGCCGCACTCCATGTAAGTACTTCCCTATGAATGCTTACATCCAATTGGAACCTTGACCACAGTCAAGAGTTCCTCCCCCCTAGATAGGGGAACTACGGTTGCTCTGATTCCATTCCCGTCAGGATACGTAGGCACAAGATGCGATGTCTTCGTGAGCATACTTTACATACTTTACATACTTTACATACTTTATATACTTTACAAACTTTATACATACTTTATACTTTATATCTTTACCCTTAGCACTTTCCCTTTAGCAAGCAAACTTTAGCGAACACAAATATTAACAAGAGGTTCCTGTAGAGTACTACAGATGTTTAGGATGTGAAATACCTACCCTAGGCATAACCAACCCCCGAACCTTTAGATCTCTCTTTGCTTAGCTTTAAGGCTTGCTTTTTGCTTTGCACTTTTATAGGTTTTTCTTTCTTTAAACCTTTCCTTTTTTGGATAAATTAAAGTTTGGTTGTGAATTTAAGAGTTAAGATTCAAGTTAATCAATAGCTTGGTATCACGATTCTCACCGCAACAGAAATGGCGACTTCACTGGGGACTCCCCTAAGAGGGTTAAGCCCACCTTGTTTATATTTGTGTTTGCTATATGATTGTTTGCTTGTATATTTGTATATATTTGTACATATATTTGTCTGTGCCTGGGTTTATCTGTATGTAGGGTTATTACTTGGAGTGGTAAGGATAAGTCCTATACCTGGACTTGAGTGCACCTATGATAGGATGGTGGTATATTCAAGAAGGCTTATAGGGAGTTGATTCCCGACCAAGCTAACTTGAGAAACCACCGCTCTGTGGAGGCCCTCTTGAGAGTTAGTTTTGTTGAACGAGTATTTGTGAAAACATTACTACTTTCGATTTAGGAGCCTTTGACACTGAGGACCTTTAGTTACCTTTTATCCCCACTTAGCCTTTTAGGACGTAGTGCGATGACTATGAGGGAGTATTCCCGAAGTAGTTGATACGCGATACTACACTCAGACGAGACTCTCTTGAGAATATTATTGATTTCCAAGTATTTGGTGTGTCGATAATATCCGAAAGATGGGTCGATGACTTTGGGAACTTTGTTAGAACCCGTTGTGCAGATGTTTTACCCATAGTACATACCCTGTGGTTAGTTCTTTACCCAGACCTCATGCTGTGATCTCGAACCTGTGATCCTGTTATGTGTGTTTTGCATCATGTCTTGCATCGCATTGCATTGCATTTGCATCTTTGCATGGTTCGTTGCATACCTCTGTTTGTCCAGTCGCTCATCTCCAGTTGTCTTCATCGTCTAGTGTGCCTTTGAGTCGTCAAGCTGATTCCTCGACACTGATATCGGACTAGAGCTAACTATAGACGCAAGATGTCAGAGCAGGAAGCACACAACGCAGAAGTCCGAATGGAGATCGATGAGTTGAAGTCAGGCATGACTAAACTTACCGAGATGCTTCAAGTATTGATTGCCAGAGGAGAGCCATCTCAAAGGACTGTCATTCAAGAAGTTTCAAGTGCTGATGCTCCTCCTGTTCAAATGCCACAATCTACTTGGCCAGAGTTTGGTTTACCTCCCAACTACTCTCCGCCCCTTGCATCTACTGCTATGATTGGTCCGACTATCAGACCAGTTTTTCAAGCTCCCATCTTTACAGATCCCAGACCTGTGGTCCACGCTGTTGCCCAGAATGGCCGAGCCCCCTTTGAGACTCCTTTCTTTGACTACAATGCTGCTAGTGCTCAAGGAGAAGACCATGAAGATTTTGTTGAGCCTGAGATTGTCCGCGAACAATTTCAAAACATAGACAAGAGACTCAAGGCCGTTGAGGGTACTGATTTCTTCAACGTCGATGCTGATAATATGTGCTTAGTCTCTGGCCTCGTCATGCCTCCTAAATTCAAGATTCCAGATTTCGTGAAATATAAAGGTCACTCATGCCCAAGAGCCCATTTGGTCATGTACTTCCGAAGGATGGCAGCTTACACTAACAATCAGAAGTTGCTCATCCATTGCTTTCAAGACAGCTTGAGTGGTGCTTCTCTTAATTGGTATATGAACTTGGAGCACAATAGTATCCACTGCTTCCAAGATCTCGCCAATTCTTTTATGAAGCAATACAAATACAATCTGGACATGGCTCCTGACCGTCGTCAACTTCAAAACATGTCTCAAAATGAAAAAGAATCGTTCAAAGAATACGCTCAACGTTGGAGAGAGTTGGCTTCCCAGGTTGAACCCCATCTAGCAGAGAAAGAGCTAACTGGAATGTTCATGGATACTTTGTCTCCTTTCTATTGGGAAAAGATGATTGGGAGTGTATCTTCAAACTTTACAGATCTGGTGACCATTGGCCAAAGGTTAGAAGAAGGACTGAAAAATGGTAAAGTATCCAAAGCTGCTAAATCTTCTAATGGTGCAAAGAAATCCTATGGGAATTTCCAAAAGAAGAGAGAAGATCAGACCAATGTTGTCATGACTGAAGTGAGAAGGCCTCGCTCTAGACCTCAATTTGTTGATCATCATGTTGTTGCTGCTGTTGCTGCTCCACGACCAGCTCAGATTCCTCAACGTCGAGCTGTTGGACAGAACCAGTATCAGAATAAGAATCATTTTGATCCTATTCCCATGACGTACACAGAATTGTATCCTGACCTGGTTCGACAAGGGTTGATTACTACGAAGACTTTACAACCTCCTCCTTATCCTCCTCCAGCTGGATTTAGAGCTGATCTTCATTGTGCTTTCCATGAGGGTGCCCCAGGCCACGACTTAGAACATTGTTATGCACTGAAAGCCAGAGTGCGGGAGTTGATTCGAACTGGAATCCTTGGTTTTAAGGATGACCATCCGAATATCCAGAACAATCCATTGCCATAGCATCAAAAGTGAAGCTTCAGTCCGACTCCAGCAGACTATCTTTTTTGAGCGCCAGTGTTTCAGACAAGACAAATTTAGTCACTAGGCCTTTTGTTTCTCATTGTTTGCATTTTCCTTCATTTTGTTTAAGCTTGTTTGCTTTTATTTAGTGTTTGTACTTTCATCTAATGAATGAGCATCACAACTTTTGATTCCAAATCATTTTGCCTATTGTTTGCACTTTTATGCTTTATCTTTCAAATATTTACTCCTTGTCCAAACTTTTGATTATGCACATTTTTGAGGGAGAATGATGAAAACGTATTATCCATAACTGTTGTTAGTATGCTTTCAATCAAACTTTGTTGACGATGTAAGGCATTGTTTCAAACCCTAAACACTGCAGAAATAAGGAAGGTAATCCCTCGTTAACCCCTTCGAGCCTAGAAGTTGGAGTTTCTTTCTTTACAAAAACCTGCAATTTTAACCTTGGGGTGGGTAGTTCTCAGTTAACTTGGCTGTGTGTTCACGCAAGACAGGTTGCAACCACAATTTATTTTCCTT